CCCGCCCGCCCCCGCCCCCGCCGGCTTGACCCCCAAATACGCCGATAATCAAGCACACACAAGCGCAATTCCCGCACCTACGCCGGAAGCAGCCCCGTTAGGCCCACGGAACACGACGGGTACCGGGCAGTCCCCCGCAGACATGTACAGCTGCTTTGCCGCCGAGTTGAGGATCTGGTCGATGGCCTGGAGGGAAAAGTTGAACGTCATGAACTCCACCACCGGACGAAGGTCCTTGTAGGCCGCCCCGGTGGCGAGCCCAGTGAATCCCATCTCCGTGATGGGGGTGTCGATCACCCTCTTCTCCCCGTACTTCTGGTAGAGCCCCTTGGTGACCTTTTGGGTGCGGTGTAGGGTGGTGCAGCAGTGGTTCGGGAGGGAAACGGTTTGAGGCAGCAGCAAAAATCGCAGGGTTTGAAAAGAAGTCTGTCAGCCAAACGCATAAGAAAATCTTCCTGTGTACGTCTTTCTGTGATTGAAACACTCCGGCATGCCTGGTCGTTGGCTTGCGTTTGAAAATCAAGCTTGGTTCAAGGATGAATGTGCGGCATTGACGCTCACTGTCCCCGTTAACTCTAGCCGAGCCCCGCAGACTTTGGAGCACAGCTTCCAGAAAGAAAAAACAAAGGGGAACACGCGTCAACCGCGCGTCAGAAGTGGATTCTAGATAAGGCTCTAGCAAGTCAAGTAGATAATGTTGACGGTTTCTCGCCCGTGCTTCAACCTCTGTTGCGATATTTCTTTGCTATTAATAATACATCTCGACGAAGGCGCGCACCACAAAGGTTCCAAAGGCAATAACGGGGATCTCCGTCAAGTATTGGGCATGTTACAACGGCAACGACAATAACAACAGTGCTCAACAGCAAGGGCTTCCTTCGTTCCATCACAAGTCGCCCACCTTGTACGCCCCCTGGTACTGTGCAACCTCCTCTCCCATGAGAAACACCCGCTCGTCCCGGCCCATTTCCTCGTCAAGCCCCTGGTTGATGGCCTCCCTTACGGCCACCTGTCTCAAGAAGAAAAATAAAATAAAAAGTGCAACAAAAAAAAATAGGGAACTCGTGGCACAGCTGAACACAACAATCAGGGATGAAGCATAAAAAAAAAATGCGCGGACAAAACACTTACTTTCGAAGGAGCAGAGGCTTTGACAAGGCACGAGAAAACGGACAAAGTTGCGATTGACAAGCATGGGGATATTGTGCTACCGGAGCAAAGTACGACTCGAGTTGTCCAGCACGGTGTAAAGAACCGTAACCGTCTTCGGCATGTTTGGGCACCATTGAGTGATTATTGTAGCACAGGAACGTCCACGGCTGTTATTAAACTGCTAACCAACAAGCCTTCAGTGCGAATATCGCCACATGCTCCTCTAAGAGACCATCAATGAGACCATACGGTCTCTAGACCTCTCGCAGAACGGGAAAAAAAAAATGTGAATGAATGGATGAATAAATCAATGAATGATAACTTTCAGTTCGAAGGCCTAAACCACGCACTTTCGTGAGCCGAACGCCCGAGACGCGAGAAATCACCCCATCGGCCGCCCTGCATTTCTTTGGAAGCCCTCCGCAAGTTTCAACTTGATTGGTGCTTTTTGCGTTGACGGTTGGCTGTGTCGGTGGCCAGCACTCTCAAGCACGAAACACGAGTATGCAGAAGGAGGTGCTGTCGACACCAAACTGCTCCGATCTCGACCGATTTGTGCCTAAACGTTGCCTACCCTCCACCAAACTGAAACCCGGTCCAATCTACGGCTGGATTGACAAGTCCTTCGACGCTGGAATAGCTGTGTGCCTACCAATTCGGCCTGCCAACGAGAGGTTCGGGCCACACCGCTGCGACCTCCCGACGAGGAAATATGTTCCCCGCAAATATGACGGTTTCAAATCATATTACGCGCGCGCGCAAAAATGTTGCAGAACAAATACATCACCAATCCATTGTAGCTTATCCTCATCTCGACATGTGTGCCCCGCGATAGGCCATTCGCCGCGTTTCGCAAAAAACATTCTTCGTTCTTCATACGCGCGCGCGTAGAGGGATGGAAGCAGCGATTTGTGCAGGCGTGCTTGTGAATCTCTCTCCCGGAACAGTCTTGCACTGGAGACGTGCGAAGACGTGGTATACACGCCATCCCTCAGCCCAAGGCATGCGGGTTGTCACAGCTGATGTTCTCCTATTTGAAACCCCTTGTTCCACCGCATTTTGCACGCACACCCAACGACTTGACAACTTGATGATTGATGACTCTGTCTTGTCTTCGTGGAAACACACTACATCAATCCATGCATCAATTGTACCATAACTTCGATCTCGACCGATTCGCGCGTGCGTAAGTTCCCTCCCTCCCCGCGATTCCCCTGCCAACGACAGGGTCGCGGAAGCTTGCTAGCCGAACACGACGGTTTCAAAATGCTTTTCGCGCGCACGCAAAATGTAACGGTTTTTGTTTTCGTCGGAACGCACGTGTGCCCCGCGATACACCAGTCTATCGCGTGGTCTATCGCGGGGCACACGTATCTTCCGACGAAGACGAAACCCATTACATTTTGCGTGCGCGCGAAAACTATTCGCCGCCTTTCGAGGGAAACAATATTTTTGTTTTTTGTAGCCGACCAACGACGGTTTCAAAACATTTTTCGCGCGCACGTAAAAATGAAATGTATGTCGTTTTCGTCGGAGCCACGTGTGCCCCGCGATAGACCACGCGAGTCTATCGTGTGGCACACGTGTCTTTCGACGAGCAAAAAACTCCATTACATTTTGCGTGCGCGCGTAAAATACCGTATATGACACAAGATAACACACCCCCTGGACCGATTTTCAAAGCTCGATTACTCCACGACGAAGAGGATGCACAAACGAAACGATACATCTTCGAAAAGCTCTCGACGAGACAGTTTCAACGCCGCCGTTGCTGTTCCTGCAGTTGAGAAATCGAGCTTCGAAAAATGGTCAAGGGGGTGTGTTATCTTGTGTCATATACGGTATTCGCCGCGTTTCGTGGGAAACAATATTTTTGTTTTTGTACATACGCCGCGTTTCGAGGGAAACAATTGTTCGTGTACATTCGCGCGCGCATAGAGGGACGGAAGAAGCGATCTGTGCAGGCGTGCTTGTGTGTATCCCTCTTCCCGAGCCGTCTTGCGCTCTGGTTACGTGCGAAAGACATGGTACACACGCGATCCCTCAGCCCAAGGCATGCGGTTTCAGGTGTTCTTCTCCAATTTCTTCGTGACAACCCAATTCGCGTAGTTTTGCACGGCACAGAAAATCTCATCCTCGTCTGCTCCCTCTACACCAGACTGAATATTAGGCGTTGCCCATTCAAGACGATGAATGCCGCTTTCTTCTTACCCTAACAAAAGTCGTCGTAAGGATGCAACAAGATTTACCACACTGCTCTTTGTGCACATCTCCATCCCTTTGTGCGAATCTTAATCTTATTCTTCATATCTTCACTGCTCTTTACACTGCCATAAATAAAGCGAAAATCTCTTAGAGGACCAGCACGGTTGTCCGAGGCAAGCTGCGATACCAATCGCAAGATAGCACCCCCTCCTCCCTGCGAGATTTCCTCCTGGGGAGGATGGCGAAGCCGACCGACCGTTTCGTATGGTACAAAAGCTTTTGGAGGCATATACCGTAGATGACACAAGATACCACACCCGTGTGATAACATTTTTGAAAGTCGACAAGTTATCACACGGGTGTAGTACTCTGTAGGGAGTGTGATATCTTGTACGACCCGTGTGATAAATTGCTCTCAGGGGATTACACCCCATAGGGGGTGTGGGAACAGGGGTGTGTGATAAAAAGGGGGGGTGATAATGTCGCCCATGGAATGAACTGCGCCTACACGACCCCACCCACAGGGGGTGTGATAAAGATGGGGTGTGAAGATGTCGCCCGTGCGAAGAAGTGCGCCCACACGACCCAACCTACAGCGTGTGCGATAATGAGGGGTATGATAACCATAAGGTTTGATAACGTTACACCTATTATCATCCTGAAGTGCTCCCGATAATGCTGGGTTGCGGGTGGTGTCGTGTGGGCGTCTGCAGCACGGGCGGTGCTAGGAATAGCAGGTATTGTTGGGGGAGTGTCAGCAGTAGGTTCTGCTGCGCGGGCCTCGGCAGCACGGGTGGTGACAGGCATACCGGGTGCTGCGGGAGTCTCAGGCACCACAGAAAAAAATGACGTAATTGGGCGTGGCGCTGCCGCCAGAGTCTGAGTCGCGATGCTTCGAGCAGTGTTGTGCGCTTTGTTCATCTCCCCGGTGTCGTCGGTCGCCATACCTGGAGTGCAGGGTTGCGACGGGCACTATGCGCATGATTACCACACCGGTGTGATAGGGGGCTCTGTGATATACATTTGCGGCTCAACTTAGGGGGTGTGGTATCTTCTGTGACGGTGTGATGAATCGATACTTTTTTCTAGGACGCAAAATATTATCACACGGGTGTGTTTTCTGTACATTTTCGTTAGGGGCGTGATATCTTCGGTGGGTGTGGTATCTTGTGTCACCTACGGTAGCCTTTGCCCAGAGCCTTGGTATACGGATATGATGGTATCGGCCACTGCTGTTTCGACGGTATCAAGCCTGAAACAGACTCGGAGTGGGGTGAGGGCGGGAGAACCCGCCGCAAAACCATGTCATACGCATGCGAGCACCCCGTGTGGCAACGGTTGGCACTTGAAACTTGGAACTGAACGGAATGAGTTCGGGTACCCTTCTAAATGCCCGCAAGAAGGGGGGTGGGGGGGGGGGGGCGCTAAGGCAGTGAGAATGACATGTTTGGGCTCGACTGCCTTGGTCAACCCCGGGAACCGCAGAAGGTGTTATACCCTATTACGGCCGTTACCGTATAACCTGGCGCCATCCCAACCAATCGCAAACCGTACTCCTGTACCAAACACGGGCAGCGGGTGCCTCGTCAGTGTTTGTACCACACTTGTCCACAAGCTGCCTGCAGAATCTCTGTCTTGTTTTTTTTTGTTCCGTGGCCTGCCCGGGGGATGGCTCGATGACAAGAGGGGACCTGCCACGACGTGACAAGTGCATACACTCGAACCCAAGATTGATTCACTACAGGCCACAACACGCACGCGATCTCGCAAGCCTACCTCGATTGTCCCCATCGACCGCTTTGCTGGCTGCCGCCATCCCGCTGCGGCCGCCGTCGATGACTTGAGAGAGGCAAACGAGAACAAAAAACATATGATGCACATGATTAGAGGTTGATCAGCAGGGTCATGGGGAGAAGGAGCACTTCCGGGCGGATGTACAAAGGGCGAAACCAGCAGTGTTTCGTCAAGAAAGCTCCTACAGAGATGCAGACAGCAGTTCTATCAGCGGCGGTGAGAGGGCATGAGTGGTCCCTCGGCTGCGTGAGTTGAACACCCGTGCCTACGGCATGGTCAGCGTCAAGAAAGAGAGCCCTGCTATACCGCGTGACGCGACCGCTTGCCATTGCACGACATGTGCACACCCTGCCGCGCGGCAGAGCAGCACACGACTACACAGCATGCACTTTGTTCAAACTGCGTGCGGACGATTTCTACCCAAAGTGCGGGGCATCTCCAGGCTGTGCACTGGTTTGTAGAACCAGAGCAGTAGTACCGACCGTCGCTTGATGGTGGGCGCTAACGATATGACAATGAGGTCGCGTCGTCGGCTCGCTTTGTTAGGTCCCACAGGAGGGAATGATGTGGTGCGGTGCGCCAGAGGACACGGCGCAATCAACTGCTGCTGCTATGCCTGTACCAAATTGACGGCACAACAAGGTCACGCCAACAGGCTGGATAACTCTCACAACGTGCATGTCAGTGACGTCTCCCGGCAGATCGAGACGGCTGCCATCCTGCTACAGTAGTGCTGTGCTGCTGGTCTTCACGAACTTGCCTCTGATGCACCGCTGCACGCGAGCACTACACTACTCGCCGTGCGTAGACACCCTGCCACGAAAACATCGTCGTGCCTCCCATAACCAATGGCAGTCAAGGGCAAGTTGTGGTGCGACTCTTATGTGACTCCCGACATGTGTCGGGCAAAGCGCAATCCGTCCAAAGTGATCGGCAGTTGACGCACCAACGCCGAACACTGCTAGGGGTTTTTGGGCACGCAAATACCACGTTTTCCTCGATGCAAGGAGCTGGACAAGAAGTCGCGCTGGTTTGATCACGCCGTCCATGTTTACTCACCAAGCTTGGTCGTACCGTGCGTTGCAACGTCGCAAACATCGTTCTCCCAACTAAGAGCAGAGACCCTCTCTCCAAGGGCCGGTTGGTGGCGTGCGGAGAGCTCGGGCAGCTGGACCGTAGCGACTGCTGAGTACCGCAGTACCGCCCAACTTCGTTCCAGGGTTTTCGGAGCGACGGAAGGCGTGTCCAATGGCGTTACATGTTTGAAATACTTTTTTAGCGAAAAGAAGGAAAACACGCAAGCCGAGGACGAGCCCGACGAACGCAACGACCCGATCAGTCAGTATACATGGACTAACACTTTTACAGTATTGTAGAGTACGGCTCGCTTGTGGGATCCATGTTCCGAATCTATGGTTCGGAACATTTTACGTAGAATGTATGGGTGTCTCGAATCGCTGGTGGCGCCTGGTCCTACTGCTGGAAGGTACATGCTGTTAGAGGTACAGCTAACGGGAGAGACCCACGGCCGGCTGCAGTAGAAAAGCCGGCTGACGCTGAAATGAGGCGGTCTTGCCGTTACTATGGACAACTTCACCCTGCACCATCAGCAACGAGGGGCAGGTGAGAGTGTGTACAGGTATAGGCTATCCGTGAGCATTTCTCGGTTTTCCTGTAGATATCCATATGTATCGTCATGCTAACACGCATTCAACCTCAGAGGAAGATATTGCTGTTGTAGATGCAACTCGCGTGAAGCTCCGTATACTGTATCCGGACAAACTGACCATGGTATGCATCGTGAGGCAACATCTGCAGATGAGCGCGTCCATATGACACAACACGACGACATAAGGAGGCATGCAAAGGAAACGAGGCACCCGCTGCTGCGTTGGGCATAGAAAGATACCGATGTCGGATGGTCTCGTGCAAGTCTACATTTTTAGAAAAAAAACTTTACCAGGTATAAACTACTTCGTATCCCAAACATGACCGGGGGTGTGCTAGGACAACTCTTAACTTGTCCTACATGATATTCCGCGTATATGACGCGATGTCCTTCACCGATAAACATTTAACAGGCATCCTCGCCATTCGCGTGTCGACGATCGGAGCCGCCGACGAAAAAGCTTGGGCAACTGTCGAAAAGCACCTGAACGGCTGTTCTAAGCTTCATCTACAGGCGAACTTTGGGCCAGGCAGCGCGGGGGTGATAATTCCATGGGCAACTGCCATCAATACACAAGATGCCGATTCGGAAAAATTGCAAAGAGATGCCAAGGTGATATGTTACCACGCACTTGCGTTTCACCAACGCTGTTCTGGACGCCCTTGGAAAACACCTTCCGAATGCTTTGAGCTTACACCAGATACAGTCTACAGAAAACTCAACATCGGCGCGGCGCATACCTTCCATGTTTTCATACATTTTCTGGAATATGGGCTCTGTTGTTTCTTTTGCCCACGAGTGCCCCATCTTTGGCGGGTTTTTCTCGTACCTGCCCTCTACACCTGTATAGAAGTGCGTAGAGGAAGCCAGCATCGAGTCCTGGCAAGCCGAAGGTGCCGACAAATTCTGTAGATACCTGTACTCTAGATTTAGAGGGCGTGTGTTTCGATGTTTCGATGTTTCGATAGCACTGACTCTCTTCGTGAATCCTCTTCGTCCGCACGTTTTAATTTACAGTTGCACCTACCGTACTTCAATCTGGCGGACGGAGTAAAGTCAACCGACGCGTCGCTCGTACTCGAGGTCATAATCCAGAACCATTCCTCCGACCAGGGGCATGCTTCAAAGTGCCCCGAGGATGATGAGCTTTCCCTGAGCTCTTCTTCCTCGGCCACCGACAACTGCGAACAACAAAATCGATACAACACAGCACAGCCGAAAGCACGGTCTCTGACGACTCTTGCGACTGGCACCCTCGACGTTCAGATGGGCCTGACGACTACTTTCAGCCGCACGGCGGCAACATCAAAAGAAAAGTGCGTCGTTCCATTCACCATCATGCCGAAAGAGCGTCCGGCTGCTTTGCTTTGCCCCGAACTTCCGGACTCTATCCCCGTCGCGGTGGAACTCACCTTCTCCAAGACCGGGCTCGATGCCGCTGATGCCGGTGAGCAGCAGCCAGTGGAACGAGTCTTGCCGCGTACGGGAAACGGTGCTGCCGTGCCGGCAGTCTTTGTCGTGGCGACGACCCTGTTCGACTGCTCTACAGCAATGAAGGATGCGGAACTTCGGCTATACGTTCGGCGCGGCGATGCCCGAACAGCGTCAAAAATCTCTTGCAGGAGAACCGGTGCCATAGGTAAGGGAATTTTTACAACTGGACGTCAAACGTGCCGTGACCTACCCTACTCTCTCACATTTCCGTGTGTCCAATCAGTTGGTGGATGCCGCCCGAAACAATCTCGTCGTGGGCAGCTAGTGTTGTGGGTTTTGCACAAGTAGGAAGTGCGGGACTGCACGTCTCCTAACAGCGCCAACTCCACACTCGTTTCCCTCCAAAATGCTCTTGGCCGTCGTGCTTGCCGAAAGTTGTGCACGAGAGCTTCGAGTGGAACATCAGCGCGAATTTGAGCGCCCTCTTCCCTCCGGTAGATCAGCAGAGGCGCGCACTGTCATGTTCCTGCGCATCGTCATGTTCCTATTCGGGTGGAACTCTAGCCATCGCTCTCATCGACAAAGTCACTACTACCGACGACCGTGAGGTCCCCGTTTCTCGCCGCAAACGGATACGTTCAGCCCGAAAGATGGAACGCTTTACCGTAGGAGTATTGGAGCTGTCTCGGGAAGAGATATCGTCTTGTGGAACGACAGGGCGGTGGTATCCTCTTAGAGCTGGCTTCAGCAGTGCGGATCGCAACGCACACGGTGCCGGAACAGGAGCTGTGGGAGAAGCCTTAGTTGCGTTCGCCTGGATGCAGCAGGGGCCTGCAACGGCCGCCCTTTCGAGAGACCCGATCCATCACAACCGCGACATCATGTCTCGAAAACGGCCTAGACGAAAACGAAAGGAAGGAGCACAGGACAGAGACTCTGCGAAGAAAGCTCCGCAAAGCAAGCGAGCCGAAGCCAGCAGCGGTGGAAACTCGGATGCGATCAACATCACTCGACCGATAACGGGGCATGGTTGTGGCGATATCAACGGCGCTTTGCAACAGGAAACCCAGATCCACATCCACGTTTGGGATGCCTTGTTGCCCCTCGCTTGGTCGGGTTCTGCGGTATACTTGACCGTTCGCCTCTGTTGCCCGGGGTCACGTATCCAGCGAGTCTCTACAAAGCCGGCGCGATGCCGGGGAGGACCGAGCACGAGCCCAACAGCATCGGGCAGCAGCAGCAACAGCAGCAGGCGTTGGACAAACAGAAGCAGTCGGGCGGGTTCCGTGCACGTGGTATGGGACGAGCACCTGACGCTGTCAGTCGCAGACCTTCTCGATGAAGGTGCGGTGGTCGAGCTGCTGGTGCGAGACGCGTCCGTGGACAAAGAGGTGCCTCTAGCGACGCGCGAGGGGGAGCCAGTCCGAATTTTCGCGGAGCGGAACAAACCCGTGCGGGTAGGGGAGACTGCATCTTTGTCGCAGGGTGATATGGCTTCCCCCTTCCGTCTTCCAGGCCCGGTGATATATCGCTTGAGGCTCCAGTACCCTCCCGGAGATATGAACGATAACTCCGACCCGGCATTGAACGGAGACCGCGTAGAAGAAAACCATGTCGGGTTCGGTGGGGTAGAGGTGCGCATGGCCGGTCTAGTTCTCGAGCGAAACTGTATCGACTACGACGACGACGGAGTGAAAGCTTTTCTCCAGCGAAAGGCTGACGTCGCAAGGGTACCGCGTCGGTTGACCACCGTCGGCGGTGGTGGTGGTGCATCGTTTTCCAATCGAACGGTTGTCCCAACGCGCGAGATGCGTCGTCCGGGGCGACGTTCTCGGTTGCTCGACCTTTCCGCAGCGAATGGCCTCTTCCATAAGTTTGCCGAGGATCAAGCTGGCGGGAGAACATCGGCTGAAGGAGCTGTGAACATGAGTTCGTGGTCACCGAGGACGGCAACAGGCGGAGATGAACCAAAAACGAGCAGGCAATCTGAACCGGGGGACTTGGAAGATTTTGGGGAGCGGTTTCGTTCGTCTTCTGAACCGGTGCTCACAAAAGAGGGCCTAAGCCTCGTCGCTCAACAGTACTTTCCAGGACTCGCAGAGCAGCCGGATTGTGGTGCTGCAGGGGCGGACGCGACTGCAACGTCGCGACACCTTTGCGGGGACCACTCAGCCCCAAAGGTCAGCAACGAAAATTCCCACGGCATAGGTTTCACCGAGTTCGTGTCGTGGCTCCGGAGTCTCCCTGAGGCAGACCTTGTTACCGCTGGACTACTTGTCAGCCCAAGAACAGCGCTCCACACTACCGGAGTAGTCATGGACGGGGATGTCCAGTATGCTCGAGAACTAGCTGCTGCGCTAGAACTCGCTAGAGAGCCGACGGCGATGTTGATAGGAGGATGGTGCTCGGTTCCCCTTCGGAGTACCGTGGATGCGACAGCACTCGAACGGGTGCGGCTTGGGTGGGGTCCAGGGGGCAGTGAAGACCGAGACGGAGGTGGACCAGCGGAAATGGCGTGGCGGCGCCACACGGAAATGCTTCGACGGGACGTTGGGGTACTGAGCAAGGCGCTGGTTGAACTCGAGCACAGGTGCGGCGATCGGACGGTTAGCAAAGAGGCCGAGAGTATCGGCATTAGTGATCTCGATCACGGTGTAGGCGATGATCCGGCCGGAAGAACGGAGGAAGAACCGGCGAACGCCTTTCCTGAAGAAGAATGTTCACCAAAGCTCGAGGTGGACGGCATGCCACCGACGGTAGGCGAAGTAGCCGTGGCCACACATGGCAGGCCCAACAAGGTGGAGGCGGGCGTAGCGCAAAACGAGCCGGACTCCAGCTCAATCGCCGCCGTGTACATAGGCCAGCAGGCTACCCGGCTGGGTGCAGCCGCGGAGCACCTGAAAGAAGCACTGAGATGCGCCGGGGATGCGTTGAGCTGCGACGCCACGCGCATCAAAGCCCATCCATCTTCGGGTGGAAGATATTGTGGCGCCCGAAGAGATGCTGAAACAAAACGGTCGCGAGGTAACGGGCGTAGCAATCGGGTCGATCTTTCGTCGGGGTCATTTTCATACGCAACCGATGAGGTGCAAGCGCATCGCCACCACCAACAGCATGGCCTTCTACTGCGGCACATCAAACAGGTCACATCTTTTCAGGCAGAAATCGCGTCTTTCCAGCGTCGCGCCGCCGCTCTAGCCCCTCGAAAAACAGAGGAACCCGTTCCACTTGTGCGGTGGCAGGGCGATGACTTCGGCTACGGCGGTAATGGTGCCTCGTGCGGTGCAGCAGAGACCCCTCGATCAGGCCTGGCGCTGGTCAAGCGGATTCGTCGCGCTCAAAGCGCGGCCCGAAGGCAGACGACGGTCGAATCTACTCCAGGCGCCATCGTCACTGGAGAAGAAATCTTTCCGGCGCTGTGCAACCAAAGTCACGGCGATGACTCCGCCACGTCGTCGGACGCCAATGATGATCGTGATTCATCAGGTGGAGATGGTGCTGCGGTTATGAAAGATCAACAACAACAAGAGAGGGGCCTTTCCGCTGGGGTCCCAGACCCCGAGGAGGACGGGAGCATGGCCCTAAGTTCAAGCCACGCAGAAACTCTTTTCTCCCCACGGACACCGTTCTCCATGTTTCGAAACCCATCTTCGCCGGAAAATCTCCGGGAAAGGCTGGATAGCATCCGAACCGCGTTCCTCGACAGCGCTACCGATCTGCCCGCGTCTTACCCTCGAATCGCCGAACGGATACTAGATACGGCAAGCGAGAACGCGACATGCACGACGAAATTGGTAACCTCAGCCGCCGTTTGCTGTCCGATCGACAGGTGAGGTGTACTACTCGAAACTGCTGTTTCACCGCGACGGACCTTCGCCTCGCCTTTCCCTTCACCTCGACGAACTCTTAGCTGCCTCTGATGATACAATTATGACCAATTTCCCCTCAGGCGATCAAGCCTCATGTGCAGCAGCACCATGCAGTCCTCCTTCCATAAAACCATTCAATCCGGCTTCTTCCCACCAAATGGCACACGCAGGTTTGCTCTACACGTGTTCCGAACTGCCGGGGCTGCCGGCGAGACAGGCAGCACGGTGTACACCGACGTGCAGGAGCTCGCCGGCATCGGCGGCCTCGACACGCAGACCTCCGAGAACTCCCTGTGGAGCGCGGCGGCACGGGCTGGAATCGTGGACGTAGAACGATGGGTCGTTGCCGCGGTGCTATGGCAAGTCGCAGACGCTGTGGCCTCCACCGACAAAAGCTTCGTGCCTTCTGTGCGAAGTCCGGGGTCGATGGAGGGTGCATCAGAAATCATGGCTGGAGACGATACATCGGACGCAGCAGCGGTATCGACCAAGGCAATGTCGTTGTGGGAAGAGCTGCGCGACGAGGCGTTTCGATCGGTGCTGAGCCGCAGCATTAAGAACGAAAACCATGGTAGGGTACCGAACGCAGAACCAAGTTCTTCCTCCCCGGTAAAGGCCGGCACTCTGTCGACGCCAAGAAAACACGATCATCAACGGGAGGGGGCTTTGGTGCTCGTAGGAGAGGACGTGGTTTCTCATCGCGTGGATCGACGTGCTCTCCAGCGGTACAAAGCCTTGAGGTCGGGCCCCAGCTCTTTCGACCGTGCTCTGATGAGGACACTCGTCCTAGCAAGCGGGGCTGGTGCGGCGGCGGCAGCGGCAGCGGCAAGTCCGACGGCGGGCGGTAGGGCATCATGGGACTCGGGAGTAGGCGGTTCTCTCGACTGCGTTGAAGATATCTTGTTGCACAACTTTGTCGTCGCGGGGTTCGTCGACGGGTCGTGCTTGAGCGTGTCTGACATCGTCGACGCCGTGAGCGCGCGTAGGCAGAGGGTTGCTCTGACGGCGACAGCGGGCGGACTTATTTCAGGTGGTGCAAAGGAAGGCATGGACAACGGAGTTGCGTCGGATGAGAATGGGCACCGACCCGCGAAACCGCAAGCTTTAACAGAATTACCCGAAGACCATCGCCACCGCTTGTCGCGTGGTGAACCGGTTCCACAGGGAGAAACACGGGCCGCAAGCGTGGTCAAGGGGGAAGAGGACCCTATGAGCGACGACAATGCTGTTGCTGTTTCTGTGTCCATGTTGGAGACAGACGTGGAATCGCGTCTTCTGCTTGGAATCCCCGCCGAACTGCGGGAGCTCTTTCGAGCTGCCAGTCTCGCGGGGGTTGTACGCAAAAAACAACAGCAACAGCAGCATGTGAGTCACGGTCAGGTTTCAAGAACGAGAATGTATCGCGTCTCGTGATTGCTTGCCTATTTGCTGTTCGCCGTTATTATGCCTCGTGGCACCACCAAGACCGGCGTTCAATCGCACCTCTTTTTTTCAGGGTCACCAAGGCAGCCTAGAAAAGGACGAGCTGGAAAATGCTGAATGGGGAGTCTTGCAAGTCCTGGACAGCAACCGGACCCTCGAAACGGCCCCCTTCTCCGGAGGGAGGACAGCCTTACACCACGCCGCCGCACGGGGCGACGAATTTTTAGTTCGCTTGCTCCTCGAACGAGGATGTAAACCCCATCTAAAGGTAAGGATATGCTGCTCATATATTATATCGTCCTATTGGGTATGCAGCACACGCGCGCAGAAATTCTGAACGGCGCGAGACAAGGATTGCCTACCTCCAAGCCTCCACCAGTTAAGATAAACTTGCCTTCGCCTCTCTGTCGTTCTCACCACCAAATTCTGTCTGTTCAGGACTTCGAAGGGAAGCGTGCTTCCGACCTCACTCGTGACTTGAAGTGCCTCCGTCTGCTGGGCGCCCTGAAGAAGGGGTGCAAGCCTTCCGCCGTCTCTCTGCGCGGAAGCAGGGAAAATGAAGAAGCCGCCACAGCAAGCGGTCGGAAGGAGAAGCGTGTCGGCGAGACGCCGTTGAGCAGCGCGCGAGCCATGGCCAACGTAGAGTTCGCCGTGTCGTTCCGACTTCGAGGGGACGAAGAAATTGTCAGAGGCACTTCAAGGGATAGAGTCCGATGTGATGGTTCCACTGAGACACCTCGCGACTGGAAACAACGTGAGCGAGCCGAGGATGAGCAAATCAGGATCATACATGGACGAGGAGCGTGGGTGAATGGTGTTGCCCGTTCATACGACCTGAGAAACAAGGTTCTGCTCATCGACGAAATATACCCAGACACAGGTCCGGGCGGCACAACTGCTGCTGCTCACCCCACTATCGACAGCAGCGGGCCGGCCGAAAACGAAACAGGAGCAGCGATTTCGACCCAAGGACAGCTACCCGACGAGGAACAACTACGACATTGGAGAAGCACCGGAGGAGAGCGGCGAAGTTACCGCTGTTCCAGACACGTGCTCGACGTGAGACTGCTGTCGAGCCTGTCGCCTCATGGGGAGGAACTGTTCGACCAACTCCAAGAGTTCTCCTCCGCGTTTAAGACGAACTTGGCGCGCGCCTTACTCGATGTGGCGGTCGACGCGGCGGCTGCCCTGGGTGCATCGTGCCGGATGATACTGGACGGTCTCGTCGGTGAAATTGTGGAGGACGAAGTGGTTCGAGAAGCTTGTCGAAACGAGAGGCTTGCTGTCGCCACCAAAAACACGGCCGCGGTTGTCGTTGCGGGGGTTTTCCGGGCAGCTCAACGCGCAGTCGTTCGAGCGGGGCGGCTTTCGTCGCAAGCGGTGCTAACGAATGGAGGAGAAATCGACGGCACGGCGGGTGGCAGCGCCGAGACCGGACCGAAGGAGCTTGTAGCGTCCATTTCAGTTGCTAGCCTGGCAAACGCTGTTCACGGTGGTAACACCCAGAGAGCAAACCCCGTTGTTGTCGACAAGAGTGTCGCCGCAAGGATGCGATTCAGCTGCACGACCATCGTCAGCGAGAGGCGACACACGGCCGCCACGGTCGTAGCAGCAGCAGCTAGGTCGGGGGCGAGAGAGGAGTCAGCAGCAGACTCGAGTCCCGACGTGATCCGGCGGAACAGAAAGCGGCGCAATTTGCAGTACATGGCGAGGTGGACGTGAGTGAAAAAACATCAAACTCCGATATGAATACCTCGGTGTACAACGGGCCCGAGAAGTACCCCCTTACCCCCGCGTTGCGCACACCATGATTTGATTTCTTCGCCGAAAGACGACGGCAACGTCAAGTATGATTCAGGGTCATCCAACAAGATCTTTATTCATGCCCACGCAGCAACCGAAATTGAACGTCACCTTGGCTAAATACTACAGTGCACCTCCCGCCCACCCACCACTTCCGCTTCGTCGCAATGCTTGATGTGACACGACTGCAGGGTGGAAAACGGCGTCAGCACCGTAGTGGTGCGCGGTCGATCGTACCTGGATGCCATAGCCGCGAAAAAGAGGGGAGGAAGTGGGAGTAAACCGATCAACCTCGAGGGCCGTGATGCCGGTATACGGTGCGTCCTCGATCACCACGGGGTGACTCTCTCGGCATGCCTCCAGACGTTTGATGTGATGCAGGTAAGGAAAGGGTGCATACGACTTGCAGGTTGGATTTCCAAACTGTGTACTCTCATGCTTTGAACTCCATCGGGGCCCGATGAGGGAGCTTTGCGTGTTGCATTTTGTAGATCATCCCGGGACAGTTCCCTTGCTTGTGCTTATTGGGCAGCGGTATTCGCCCCATCGAAGTTGGTCGCCCACGCGCGCAGTCCATCTGTTGGTGCGTACCTTCGTCTATTGAAAGAGATGTCCGACCGCGTTCGTTCGCTTTTTCGTGTCGTGTGCTGCGTTGCAGGACATGGAAGATCCAAACATCGTTCTAGAAATGCTTGCCACGGGCATCTGCCAGGTGATGACACCGGTTGTGTTGCATCTAGGACTGTTGAAGGTGTATGTCAAAGGGTGCACGGCCTCATGCTTCTGCCCACCGAGGGTAGACCACTACCTTATAGAACAGACCCCGACCAAAGGCTCATATTCCTCCTACAAGTGACCCTTAGGAACACTGTTGTAGGCTAAGGCATCTTCATGTGCACCATAGGGCGTTTCTGACCTCGCTACCCGTGGGCGATTCGATGCAGTCTCGAGTCTCCAACATGATTGAAGAATACCAGGGTGTGGCCAGGTCCGTCGCTACCGCTCCTTCCAATGAACAAGCACGTCATGCGACACGGTAGTTGACGGTATCAGCACATTGTTCACCTCTCAAGCGGGTCGACGCCCCACTGATTACTCCGATCCGGCGACAGTTGATAATTTCCTACACAGTGGCTAATTTCCTTCAACCCTGCTATTCTTTGTTTCTTCCGCCAGCTGAGCGCGCGGAATCTCGAGGAAGGCGTCGAATTCGCCAGCCTGCGCCAGTCTGAGCAAGACATCTTGAAGGCCGAGGTTCTCAGTCAACTCTACCAAGCGACCGATCACAGCGCGCTGACTGTCCCGGAATGGGACGAGTTAAAGATCACACTTCAGGCATTCGGCGGGGTCACGTCAGTTAGCTTATCGCGGAGTGGTGAAAGCAGCAAGGCGCCTGGCAGCGACGGAGAACAGGACCTGGTGGTGAGCTCGGTGACGAGGGGAATGAAGTATGCGCGGAAGGGGAGTGCGAACGACAGAGTGGCGGCGGGAATGCGTTCGCAATTTAGTAGCTTGCACTAACGAATTCGCGTATGGGGCAGCGGTGTTGAGAGTACTGCCTGGAGGTGCTTGTTGCAGGAACAAAAAAGGGTGAAATGATTCTGAGGACATCGCTGTTATTATCATGCGAAATGTAAAAAAGAAAAGTGATCCTTTGACAAGTATGTCGTCTGGGGCTTTCAAGAGATGACAGAACCAAAGATCGATGTGCTTTTCGTGGAAACTCTTTCCGCACAGTACGAGAAACCGGCAGCTACAACCTCATGCGACAATTGTCCACAATCTTGTGTATGGCGTGGGCCCATACGACCGGCAATGACCTCCCACGTTTTGACTCTATCAAATTGATTTATGTCGTCGCCTTTAGGTGTTTGCTCCCACCACGGCCGGATGGTTCAGCCCGGACGAAGTAGCGGCTGCGCTGACATCTCCACCAACACTACAAGATAGCTTGCCCTCGACCACCGCTGCTTCCTCTTCTTTCGCCGAACCGCTACCACCGTCCGCCGTGGATCTTGTCGTCACTCTGATGAGGTGCAACCCTTGCGAGGTACTGGGCTCCCTTTGTCGAGGGATCGATACCGACGGCCGAATTGCCCTCATCGGCCGGGTCGAAAACGGCGGCGCTAGTCAAGCTTCTGCTGTTGACACGGCGGGTGGCAGGGCAGGGGGCAAGGGAGGTGGGGTCAACGATGGTTGCACGTTCCGCTGCTCTTTGGAAGTTGCGTGGAACAAAGACGAGGGCGGGGTGTTCGTGCGGCGGTTCAGCATGGATCGTGATGAGAAAAGACCGAGGTGTGTGTTTTTTAACCGCACGTGCAATTCACCCCTGGATGTGTTCATAGATTCCCACGATCTCGAATTATGCATACGCCGAAAATATATTGAACACAGGCGGTGCAGGATGTGGCTGACCTTGAGACAGCCTCCAGACCATAACAACAGCAGGGGTGAGCTTTTGTCATCAACCTTGAAAAGAGAGTTTCACTCTCGTTCTCTTGTGGCCAACCCATCTGCATCATTTTCGAAAAGCTGCAGTTGCTATCCAAAGAACCTCAGTGCGTCTCATAAATCTTCCCACGTTTCGCCCTTCTGTTCTGCTTGTGTTCTGTCGGGAAAACGGCGGCGTCTACATCACCACAACGAACGCCACGTTCGCGTTTCAGATTCACCCTCCGAGCAGTGGGAATCCGAAGGTTCTCGATTGCTCAACTCCCGGTTACCCTCGAGGATATTGATGAGGTCGAGGATCAGGGAGGCGTCGACGACACGTCTGGGTCAGACACATCGACAAGTCACGGTTGCTCGCGAGGGTCAACGAACTCGTCCGTCACCACTCTGCGCTCCTCGCAAGGAGGAAAGGGACAACCTTCTCCGCCAGCGAGCATCGTAGCGAGCTCGGCGAAGTCAGAAGAATCATCAGAACGGGGCCAACATTCTGCGATATTGGCGCAGTCAGCGGCATCAGCAGAGCGGGGTAGCTTGATTCATTCCGGAGCGGCGGCAGCAACAACAACATCAAGAACAGCGAGAACTGCAGCATCTATACCAGTAGAAGCGCCCTACGCAAAGTTTAGTTCGGCCCAGGATGACAGCGAAGAAGACTCGCGGAAACCTGAAACGACAGCAGCAGCGGCGACGGCGACCGCGGCGGTGGCGGCGGCGGGTATAGCGCCACGTGGCACGGGTGAGGATGATGATTTGTCCTCAACTTCAGACCAGAGCCGGCGATCTGATGGGAAGGAAACTAGTGATACTTCAGGATGCAGCACGAGCAAAGACCGTGGCCGATCGATGCGAGAGGACAGGATCGTGGAGTCCGTTGTAAAAGAGAACCTTGACCAGCCAAGTGAAATCGCGACCAATTATGCCACCAAGGGCGTCGTATCTAAGCAGGAAAGGCGCCACGGCGCCGTCGGTGCCTCTTCCCCTGCGACTCAAGTGGACACAAAAGGTGCCGACGGTAGCAGACAGGCAGGTTCGGAGGTCGTAACGACGAACAAAAAGCCTGCCTCCGGAGGTGGTCTCAACGAGATGGCGGAAGCAAACATTGACGAGGGGAGCAGAGGCCAAGGAGAGACGGAGGAGGTAAACGAGGGAGGACGCGAGGATGAGAAGCACGGGGATGATGATGGTAAGGAGGAGAGCACCAAGGGGGGGGCTGGGAATCAAGAAGACGAAGAGGAAGCTTTGGAGCAACAGAAAAAGGCAGCCGAGGACAAGGATGGTAGCGAATCAAGGCGCGAGCGAAATCACTTGACAACCGGTGGTAATACTGACGCCGGCGAGGTTACCCGTCCCGCGGACATGGGACCCCCGCTTCGCGGCAGTGATGGAATACTTCTTCGCCGGGGATCGACCGAGGACGTGGTCAAAGCAAATACCATCACGAGCATGGATGTGGGAGCAGTAGCCAACCGCGTGCCGAAAGACATGATCACACCACTTGTCAAGCAAGGCTTCGAGGAACTCCACAGCGCGAGATCAATTCGGGTAGAAGATGAGCATGGGGGAAGTGATGCTGGCTGCGCGACAACTGGTCAAGTTCAAATGCAAGCCCTGCCTCACGCAAACCCTGAGGCGCTTGCTCCTGACGTTGTTCGTGCAGACGAATCAATTTCGTTGCAGCGAGACTCGGGGAGGGCGGCCGACCCCGCCGCCGTGCTTGGAGAAGGGGCGTCTTCTGTCGGCATGCTGAATGCACTGGGGGAAGATCTAGGGACAACTCCCCCAGGAGATGCCAAACACGACGGGACATATTTGAAAGCGACGTGTAATCGAGACGCAGCCGATGAGGTGGTTGTGGAGGGAACCATAAACAATGAACCCCTTGGTGTGCTAACAGTTCCTTCTTCTTACCCGCTGAGTGGCTCGGCTCCCGGTACGATCGAGGACATCGACGAAGTCAACAACGGTGATAAAAACGGCGATGTAGAAGAGTTGTTTCGTCAACAAGACAAGAGAAGTTCATCACCACTTGCTGACGGTGAAGGTGCGAATGACGATGGACAGACGACCTCTGCTACCACAGTGGAAACAGGAGAATGCGAACAGGTTCCTGCGGAGGTACTAAACGTGGAGGATGAGGGAGACACAGATGACAACGAAGGCGTTCCTCCACGACTGAACGAAGAAGTCACCCTTGAGGAAGAGGAGGGGCAGACAAGGAAACAACACGAGCTGAATCGAACTGCCAGTGTTGTCGATGCTCAGAGGTTGCAGGATCAAACGTTGGATGACGTCAACGGCAAGTCTGAAGAAGACGCTGTCAACTCTTCCCAAGACAAGTTAGCCGCTGAAAAAGCTGACCAGGGGGATCTCAACGGGAAAGATGCCGATCGCATGGCCTCGACGAGCAACAGCACAGACTCCGGGGACGTGTCGCCGGCAAACGTATGGACGTTCCCTCCATCATTCGAGGCCCTCATGACTCTTTCCACCGCAAACAACACGGTAGAGTGCGAAGCTGAGGGCGAAATAACTCTCGAAGTCGAAGCCGATACCCGCGGCGAGGAGCAGGCATCGACACACGGCGACGAAGGACAAACTAAAAAGAGGCAAGAAGCGACCCCCGCGGGCTCCCCCGAGAACAATGTCGAACCATTCTGGCGAAGCCGGTACTGCATATACAGAATCGCGGCGGAGGAAGGCAGCCAGACCCCGCCAGTGGCAGACATCGACCTGGAAGACGATGACGCTCAGGCACGCCTCGAACACCTTCTCGGGGAATCGTACGGCATAACGATGGAAGAGGTCCTAGATCGTTTCTCCCCAGAGACCGACCTCAGTTCCGGCGACGCTGTGGTGCGGTCGTTCACGAACAGCATCTGTGAGCTCCGCCCGTCTCTTCTTCGGGGGCAACCAAAAAGCATAAGTTCCGATGACGGTCGGCCCGGAGGTCGTGATTCCCACGGACGAAGCGATGATGGCGCTGTGTACAAAGCCGTGGAGGCAGCGCTCCGAGGGCGCGGCGGTGGGTCCCCGTGGCGAGAGGTGCAGGTACGAGTGGCCACTTCCCGCGTCTTGGACGTACGCGTCGTCACCACTTCTTCTGACGATACCACCAGGGGCGAAGATATCGTCGAGAATGGGTCCAATGCTGGTGGACCGTCGGCAACAACATTGTTCGAACCTCCCTCGAAGGGTGCTGTCTGCACTAGCGCCGTCGATTGTTCGGGTATCGACTCACCCGCGGCGTTGAGGCCGCACCTACTCGCGGGAGGAGTGCCCGCGTCGGCAGCAGACGCTTTAGACAGAGCGGGTTTTTTCGCCCCGGGGCCCGTGGTAGACCTCGCCGGTGTTCTCGCAGCGTTAGCCGACGAGGCGAGAACCGGAGGCCCTTCTGAAACGCATGCTGCTACCGTTTTTTCTCAATCATCGCCGGGAGTGAAGAAAAAGGAGGGAACGGGGAGCTGGCCAGGTCTTGACGCCGCCAGGAGTAGGCGGAAGGAGCTACACGTCCCGCACGGCGCACGAAGAAGCGGAAGTTTCGCAACCATCCACAAGTGTACCGTAGCCGTCACCGGAACGCCGGAGGATATCCAACTCGATATTCTGCCGGCGGTAGTTGGTGATCAGGGTCTCATCGGTCAAGCCGGGGTGACCACGGCGCGCCTGTCCCGTTTGAGGCCCCTCGGTAACTCCTCGTTAAGTTGTTCGCCGGCACCAGCCCTTGTTTCCCAGGGTGCAGAAGCTGTCGCAGCAGAACGCCACCGGAACAACGGGAAACACAGCCACGCCGATAGTAAAGTCAAAGGGAGCAGTTCGGAAGAACAAAAACCCGAGAATGTGTCATCACAATCGGCACCTAGTAGTAGAGAGCGTGGGGCGGGGTTGACGGTAGGGGACCGTGTAGAGGCGCGATACGGCGGGAAAAGCGAGTGGTTCCCTGGGACTGTTAGAGAAATTCACGATGCCGATGATGCACATACGCCAGTTTCTGCACCCGATGATGTTGTTGGTGGTGGCAGAAATGGCGGTGGGAACAGTGGATTGAAAAGCAAACTTTGCAGCGTTGCTATCGACTACGACGACGGTGACACCGAAGAGAGAGTCCCTCGCGTACGGGTGCGGCTGGTTGGCCAGAAACAGCCAAGATTCTTGAACGAGGGAGACGAAGTGGACGTCAAGCGAGGGAAAAAAATAAGGTTAGCGAGGGTTGTTGCCCGCCCCTCCTCTTCCCCTAATATCGAGGGACAATATGACCTAGAGCTCCTGGGTGAAGATGGTCAAAGAACCAGCGGGGGTGGCGGTATTGTTGAAAATTGCCCGAGGAGTGCCATTATGGCATTGCACGGCTGGCCTCCTTCCCGTAAATAGAATCAATTTATCAGATGGCCGGACGGGCGGTGTAGCACATAAAAATCTGCAGATTGAGGGTCAGAGTTATTCGTACGAAAGGCCCAGTGGGAGACGAGGTGCACTGTCAGATACTTGGTTCAGTCAAGGGTTGATGAGGGCGAACGGGGCGCGATTCCTTGTCGAACTTTGATTAAGGAATGAGCCCAGCCTCGTTCAGGTAGAATCGCATCATTGTGTAGCACAACAAAAGAATCACTCAATTCTTCGTTCGAGAAGTTCCGTTTGCGGGGGGTGTTTCGTTGTCGAGCAACCTTACGGTGTCATTTTGGCTTTCAATAAAGGATACACATGCGCTACGATCGTGAAATAGATAATTGATTTAACAATGATTTCTGACGACATTTTTCCCCAGTTTCCTGCCAAACTGGCGAGATTACTCGAAGCCGAGTTGTTGGCCATCATAATCCATACAGATGGTACATATCTGATACCAAGTCAACATCACGCGACATAACCCGATATGATACATGGAGATGTTGCATCAGGTATTCTGAAATATCCACGTGTGATTCGAGTTTCCACCTTTGACGGTTTTTGATGTGAACTCAGAACTCAGACCGTTACGGATGAAACAAAAGTTGGAGACTTGCACACAACTAACCGATCAATCCCTGCGTGCAAAATGTATTTGCGTGCTTCAATTATTGTTGTATTCGCCTACAGCGTTCGATGTCACACAGATCCGCGGTGCGCGGAGATGGTGCTCTTACAGTTCTGAAAAGACAATCATCAACGCATATAGACGTACGTCACACTGCCGGTGGTGGCGGGGTACATATCGCGCAGTGCCTGCTGTGCCATTCCAGCGATAACCTACCGTATCTACCCTACCCTACCCTTACTGTCTCTTGCCGTCGTATGTGTGAAGGTCCACCCGACGCCTGAACTCGGCCGCGACGCCAGACAGACGATTCCGCACTACCACCAAGACGCTACAGTATAGTCTAGACTGTAGGCCTATCCGACTCGAACGAGTCAACAACAGCAGCGTTACAGCTTGCAATATGACAAGTTAGTCTAATATTACTAGCTTCATGGGTCCAACTCCAATGGCCATGCCCTGTGAGGTACAGCCCTGCTTAGCTCGGCTCCAATGGATCGAGTAGACTACTACAAACAGTAGGCGATGGGTTGCCGACGTTGCTACCGTCCACACTTTTGTCCCTTTGACGTGCACAGCAGTCAATTCCGACAGCAGAAAAAATTATCTTCATTAGGCACGGTCCGGGAACATCACAAAAAACTATTATTACAGACAGTGTTGTATTACCAAAAGCAACGACAATCTCTTACATAGTGAGGACCACAGAACGGTTGCCCGAGGCAAGCTGCGATGCACGAATGCCAGCCAAAACAACATACCTACGGTAGACTGCAGCAACCCAGTGGATCAAATATATTTACATGCATGGAGAAATGCGTTTTTCCAAACACGTTTTTTTCGTGCGTGTTAGGCTGTTTCTTACAGAACCGGATTCTTGATCTGAAAAATCGATTTTTT